TTATTGGTCTCACAGCTTCATTTGCAGAAAGAATATTTTTCTTCTCAAAGTACATAGTTTTATTGCCTATCATAAAATCTCATAAGTAGGATAATGAGTGTAATTGGCATAATAATTAAAAATCATTAACTATACCTGAAATAGTTATTTATAATTATATAACTCTATGCCTAGTCTGGAAAATTTTTCAGGGTTAATTGAAGTTTGTGAAAACAGGGGAACACTTCCTAAGGACAAATGTGAAGGGTTGTAAGAGGATTCAAAGTTTTCACAGTTGGCACTCAATGCGTGGTGAAGGGACGGAGTGAGGCTCTGAGTCTGGATCGCGAACTCAGTGGCTCTCCCAGAAACAAACGAAAAGGGACAGCACGTGACAGGTGTGAGGACAGTGCAGATGCACCTCCAGCAAGAAAGTGGGGGTCAAGAGTCACAAGGTGTGGGATCCATTAGAAATCACTTTTTCTACTTTATTTTTTTTTAGCAAAGATAATATTAGACAAAATACAGTTTAATGTGAAATTATGAAGAATAGCAAAAGAGATTATTTCAGAAAGATAAAAATAACAACCCATCATCAAGATCATTACCTTTGCTGTGTGGCAGAAATAAATCATTTCAAACCATAGAGGAAGACTTAACATCACTTTTTCTACTTTAAACAGAAAAACAGATTTTTAAACTAGTGTTGCTCCAGAGAAAGCACATTAATGTCGGGAGAGGCAAATTCATTTCTGACTCTGCGTTTGCTCAGAGAACTTTTAGTAGGTGCCTGCAACCTGCTAGGCACTGTTTCAGAATCTACCGACTTATACTCACATAAAGAGAACTCATCATCATAATAAAGTTATAATTATTGCCACTACTTTCGACTGCACTTAAAAAAGGGCCTCATGGAGGGAACAAGAGGACAGAGCCAGTCTAAGACAGTGGTCACCTCCCCTGGGCCACACACAGGCAAGTGCTGATGCCACTTCTACAGCAAACTGCTGTATCTAGAAGAGAGAGCAGGTAATGCACAAACGAGGAATTAAAACCACAGAAAATGACACATCTGTGGTCATAAATAACACTGACATACCCTGAAAAAATCTAGGGAAGAATCAGAATTATGGTCCAAGGGAAAATTGTACATTCGTTTAGTCTAATTCAAGGAATGTTTATTCTTACCCTACACCTAATTTTAAGTCTCCCTAGCAACAAATATTTCACTATTCCCTACTGCTCCCAGGCAGACTAAATGTACAGTTGATCTATTTATTAATTTTAAAAGGAAAAAGAAAGGTTTCCTTGACATTTGGCTCAGTTGGATGTATTTTGATGTGATTGCCCCATGTGCTGTGTAAACACTCTGTCTCCCATCTTAGTGGCATCCTGTCTGCACCCCTGTGCGGCCCATTTCAATCATCAAGGCTCCGAAGTGCTCTGGGGCTATCAAATCTTGGGAGACTGCCTTGGATCATAATAATTATTTATCCAGGTTCTTTATAATCAACTCCTTTAATCTCTTCTCATTAAATCAATTTTGGATTATCGTTCTGTTGTTCTCTGGAAGGCAGCCAGTTTTTCAGCTCTTAAATCAAAATCTTCAGCACCTCGCCTCTGTATCTGGGCTTTCCATGGTTGTGCTGAGTAATTCCCTGTCCCTCGACTCCCCCCAGTGTCCCTGTCTCCCGGCTTGCCCCTCTTCTCCCTATTGATTTCTGCTTTCCCAGTTGAATGCGATTTTATCTTCTGATCATCTTATGTCCTTATGCCCATTGGTATAATTTTATAGACTTTCCCAGTTCCATGTTATCAACATGATGACCGTGATTTCACTGTTGAGTACTAAAAATGGCCACAGCACACAGAAGTAAGTTTTACTGGGGAGGGTCCTTAATTTTGTCAATACCTCTTGGAAGAAAGCCCAAAATGACATGTGAAAATAATATGAAAACATTTAGCAGATGTCCAGCAATGCAAAAATAGACCTCACATGTTACACTGCACATTCTGATTCTCTTGCCTTGGAGAGAAGGATATCTCTCCTTCTTTAAAGATCTAGGATGTCTAAGGATCTAGATTCTTATATTAAACATTCTCCTTAACCTTTTGTGATAAATTCTAGCCATACACACAATTCTCATTCACTTAGCTTTGTGAGAATTCTTTGAAGTCAGAATCCTAAAATCATACAGCTACCAGATCTGCACGACAGCAGTGCTAGCATGTGAGCCCCCAGCTCTGGAATGCTGAGTTTCCCTCACACAGGTGGGTTGAAGCAAACCTGACCTGACAAAAATCAATAGGTAGTAAGCTGCTTATTTGTGGTAGTAGTTCAAAGGCTTTCCAGATTCCATTTCACTGAGGAAATGAAAGCAACGGATCCACCCAGACAGAGTGGCAAGAGGGAAAGAAAGCCTTACCCTCCTCCAAGGTGTAGTGAGCAAGGCCTTGCCTCTCCTGCACGCCTGAAGAGTTGGGTAAGAAAATGCTATCTCTGCCCAAACACCCTGTGAATTTTCTGAGTATCTTTAAAACTTAGAATCATATCAAATATTCAAAATGTTTCTTATCAAAGAGAAATCTGTAAACTATGACTTCAGAAAGCAAGGAAAATATCTGGAAAAAAGGAATTTAACCAGATGTCATCATTGAGAGGATAAAATGGCATCTCTTGGGAGTGGCTAGACTGTTCTTTAACAATCTTGTTGCATTAGGATATATTGCTCTTTGGGGATTCACTTTGACTGTTGCAGATAATCTAGGTGATGGAACAAGTGAAAAGAGTCACTTCGTTTGTGAATCAACCAGGCCTTTGACAAAGTTGCCTGGGAGTGGTTTCCAGACACTGCGTGTTGGGCCTTGTACTGCATGAAGACTTTGAAAATGTTTGGCCATTTTAGTTAAAATCCAGGATAACATTTGATGCAGCCATGATAACAGGAAAAATCTGTTCTGTTCTAAAAATATTTCTAGCAATGGAAATATTTCTGGCTAAAAGAATTCTGTTGAGTTGTAGGGAGGCTCCCTCAGAATAAACGTATGCAGCATAAATAAGGTATTTTATTTTTTAAGGTTGTGTGTATAGATACATTTATTAAATAAGGAAATTTTTGGTGAATGCTCCTAAAATAGAGGTTTACATAATGGAAATAAAAGATTAGCAGGTTTACCAAAGATTATTTTTATAACCTATATGCCATTCATTGCACATGGTCTTATATAAGACACCAAAATAAGTTATTTGAAACAGTGAATAATGTCAGACAAACCCAATGCATCCCTTTTGGAGTAGTTGCAAGAAGGGTTAGTTATCACAGTTTTAAGAAATGCCCTCACCAGGGTGGCACCTGTGGCTCAAAGGAGTAGGGTGGGGCCCCATATGCTGGAGGTGGCGAGTTCAAACCCAGCCCCGGCCAAAAACTGCAAAAAAAAATAAAATAAAATAAAAAGAAATGCCCTCACCTTAAGAATAGGCTTTCAGTCACGCATGACGTGCTGTGTTTTAATAGCTGCGTGCATGGATAAGTGTCCCATCAAGAAAGAAATGCAGGAGTTACGGTAGGAGCTTGTAGCCCAGCTGGACAGTGCTCCCTCTGCAGGTCAGAGGGAGGGTCTGCACTAGGCTTCCTGGAATTTCCTGGTATCAGCTCTTACTTAAAGAGCATCTGGTCATCCATGTGGGACCATTGGGCTTAGAAATTCAAGTCTTTCAACTCTTCTCTGGTCCTACCTTGTAGAAATTGGTGTGCAGCTCATAAATGTTTTATATACGCTTTTTGAAATCGCTCATCGTCTGCTTCCGTTGGATATTAGGCATTCGCTGTCCAAGCAGACTACTGTCCGTGAGGTTCATCTGGCTGTACCTTGACTTGTAAGAACCACAAATAAATAATGTAAACAAATCCAGCAACTGCCTTACTCTGTTCTATAATAGAGAACTTTTATGTTTTAATACCATTTACTATTTCTCTGCAAATCTAATTAAAATGGCAATAGATGATCCACTGTCTTCATTCCACAGCGTTTACCCACAATATTGTGTTTCTACCAACTCTGTTTGAACAAAGAACTTTATTAGTCTTTGAATTTAAATGACATATATTCTTGTATATTTTCATATTTGTAATTATGGTTAAAAAAACTAAATGGCATCATGCACACATTCTCCCTAGTCTAGGAATAAAACTCCTATTTGCCGAAGGAGAGTGTCCTGTCTGCTAGTCACCTGCTCCTCATTTATCAACTTTTGTCATCATTCTGCTTAGGATAAAAGTCAAAAGTGACTGCATTTAAAGGAGAAATATCTTCCAGGCCATTGTCATAAAGGACATGGCTGCCTTAACCTTTATTCCTGTCAGAGCTGAATTGGCCACCTAGGGCACGGTGTACGTACAATGGAATTGACTGTTCCCAACTAAATTCTTGTGTTCAGTCCTTTAGTTCATTAGTAACCAAATATCACCCATTACCAAGAGAGCTGTGCGCTCTCCCAGCCGCCGCCCGCTGGATGGCCGGGGGCCCTTCCGTGACACTTCACACATTAGCAGGCACAGTGACATTTGGTAAAGAGCTGCGGCTCCTGTTTCCAGAATGATGATTTTGCCCTTTTGCCTTTTCATATTTCAGTGGAAAGATCAGTATATTTCTTCACAACTTCAGTATTTCATTTTTCTATAACTTACAGAAACCTTTACTTGTAAAAAAAAGTACAATAAATTTATATGTAAAACCATTAAACCAAAGCAATCCTTTTAAAAACAATTTCTAGATTCAAATCAGTAGGTTAGTAAAACAGTTTGACCTATGGAGGCTGGGCTTTCTTTTTTCCCCTCCCCCGAAATTGCTGTTTGTTTCATGGAATTTATTCTTTTTTTCCCCAAACTTAAGAAAAACTATTTTATTTCTTAATTTTCTGAAAATTTTATTAAGCAATTTTTCAAACATGGAGTACAGTTGGAAGAGTCAACGATCACCCAGACACCCATCACACACATTTTATTATTTTCTTCTTCTTCATGTGCAGGGAATTTGTTCACAGGGCGGCCACAGATTTTGTGTGCCTCTCATCACAATGACCCCGGATTCCTGTTGGGTGAGTTACAAACAGAGGAGCCGTTCTTCAGGTCCCCGGCTCAGAGGCCACCGCTGGAATTTATTCTTAAAGAAAAAGATGGAGTGTTACTATTTGAGCTCATGGCTTAATAATCTGGTGATCTTCCACAGCCAGTAAGTGTTAGAGCTGGGAAGGCCAACTCGGGATTCAGAATGCAGGAAACCAAGGCCCACGTCATATCAAAAATGATATCGTCAATTGACAGAGGAAAAGAAGAAGAAAACAAATAACATCAAAAAATTAAAATAAATAAAGATGATACAGCAAAATAGCGCAATGCTGACATTGAACCTGGTCTTCCTATCGCTCACAGGTGAGGACAAGCCTGTAATTACAGACAACTGTGAGACCCGCTCAGAGTCCACTGACAGGCGGCCGTTTCCAGCCCCCAGACAGCACCCTCAGGAGAAACTTCAACACTGCGTGATTAAATCTCCTTTTCTTAGTATTCCATGCATCAGGACATATCCATTGTTAAATCGCAGACTGTGTTTTTGAGTCACACCCAATTTTGTGAAAGTCTTCACAATCTGAAATCTGAAATATTAAATATGAAAGAAAAAAACACGATTTTCTAACATAATACTATATTATGAAACTTTATTGACGCTAACAAAATCAAACCCCCCAGCATCCAGTTCAGGACAGTTTCTACAGGTAAGTTTTGAGAGAATTGGCAAGACTCTTGATGGTGCCTATAAAAGGAGCATTCATAATAGCAGGGTAAAATTAACTGGTAGAATTCAAGCCTGAGTAATAGAGAAAAACATACAGGGACGTGTGGGAGGAGACATGGAACATTTATCTCCTCACCAACGGAGGTAACAAATCCCAAAGGCCATGTTCACTAAAATATCTCCCAATCCAGCACCTCCCAAGGGAATTTTTACTATTATAATAGAAAAATGCTGATCTAAGTTTGCTTTTTTCCCAGGGTTTATTGTGATGAAGACTCTGTCCTTGGATCAAATTCTTGTCAGTTTCCTCTGAGTCGCCTGCTTGACTGGGCTCGAGCTTCAGCTCCGGTCTCTGCCCTTGTAGAATCTAGTTGATCCCCCAACCTTGGTGTCTGACCACCCCTGACGTGTTATCACTCTGGCCTATCTTCAGCAGGAATGCCCTTTACTCTTGATGTTTCTTCCTCCCTCCACTCACCCCTCCCTTGCTCTGTGTCTAGAATCTCCACTCGTCCTTGTTGAAGGTGAAGTTGAGTCCCAGCTCTCTCCTCCCTGCAGAACCCCAGTGCAGTGGTTCTCTCACGTATCTCCAGGCCCCTTACAATCTTTCACAGTTGCCATGACTAATTTGCTCTTTAACAATTGTACTGACGCAAGAACCTTTGTGTAATTCATTTTGATACAAAATTACATTCCTCTTTGCTCTTGCAGCTCTGGCCGCGGGAAGAAACCTGGCATCTATCTTAGTCTTTAAGTAAGAGCTGGCAGGGACATATGTTTTCCATCTCCATCATCCTGCTGCAAGCAATTGGTGGCCAGGAAGTTTGTCTTAGGGCTTGGCAAACAACTACAGCAAAAATTAAAAATCTGACAATACAACTATGGAAACAAGAAGCATTAAGAGTGAAGCTTAGAAACCAAGGGGCACTCCTAAGTTCAAGCTCCAATCAGATTATACTATTGATATAAATTGATAAGCTGAATAAATTAAATTTTATTCCAACATATTTCATTCCTAAAGAACTTTGCAATGACTATTGACCCATTATACACCCAAGTTATGTTATTTCCCTACTCAGGAAAAATACCAGGGAAGGAAGCACTGTCTCTGTGCAAAGAGGAACAGGTCAGCAATCAATAAAGGCAAACCAGAACTGCAGGAGAGGGAAAACAACTGATTCTATTGTGTTGTTCAGGCTTTGGTGGGAAACTGCAAGAAGACAACAGGGGAGTAAAATTAAAGATGAAAGCCAGGATCTGATGGTGCCATTAGAAGTCAGTAAAAACAGAGGATTTCCAAATTCAACCCAAGAGAAAGACTTTCCAAGACCTGTGTAAAATGCTACAGGAGGGAACCAGAAGTTTAACCTCTGGGATGGTCATTAAAAGTTGTCACATTCACACGCAGCTTTTTTTTTTTTTTTTTAATTAAATGATAGCTCTACATGCAGCTTTTTACTTTTAAAAAAGCACTCATGGCTATTGTCTTTTTTTTTTTAATTGAGTGCCTTCAACTGCCTAATAGACTTGTAAATATCCTCACTTTACATACAAGGAGGTAGAGGCACAGAAAAGACCAGAGAGTGGTCCAAACCTTGGCAGAATACAAATGATGGCTACTGCACATTATATACTGTGGTCTAAGAGTTCTGTAGGGACCATCTACTTTAAATCTTCACACAACCCTTGCTGTTAGACCTATTTTGGAAATAAGGAAATTGAAGCTTAAAGACACAAAGTAATTTGCACAAGGCAAATCCCTGTCATTTTATTAAATAATCTCCACTTGTGTTGTAGATCCTCTTCTTTCTCTCTTACTGCTATCATTGTGCATTGGTGGTTTTCTGCACTGGAACGTTCGAGTCTTTTCCTTCTTAATACATTTGCTTTACCTGTGGTTTTTGTATTTTCACATGTTTTCATGATGGTATATAATGTTCTTTTGCTCCCAGGTATAAGACTCTCCTTAGTTTTCTTGTAGGGCCAGTCGAGAGGTGATGAATTTTCTTGTCTTTTACTTGTCTGAGAAACAGTTTATTTCTCCTTTGTTTTTAAAGGATAAATTTGCTTGGGAGAGTATTCTTGGCTGACAGTGTTTTTTCTTTTAGCATATTGACTCTATCAACCCATTCTCTCCTATCCTCTAAGGGTTTTGCGGAGAAGTTCTTCGTTATTCGGATGGAAGTACCTTTGCAGGTGGCTTGATGCTTTCCTCTTGCTGTTGTTAGAATTCTCTCTTTGTTTTTGACTTTTAACAGTTTGACTATAATGTGCCACAGAAAAGACCTTTCAGGCTGGGGAATGAAGGCCTGGTCATCACTATGATGCAATATATTAATATAGCAAATTGTATTTGTACCCCGTGAATATATACAAATAAAAAATAAATGAAAAAAAAAAGGAAAGAAGAACTTTTTGCATTGTATCTGTCTGGAAATCTCTGAGCCTCACTATATCTGAATGTCCAGCTCTCCTGCTAGACTGGGGAAATTTTTCTCTGCCATAGGTTTCCTGACCTTTGTTCTCTCTTTACCTCTGGGATTCCAAAATTCAAATATCTAGCTACTTCATGGTGTTCTCTGTGTCACACAGGCTTTGCTCATTCTATCTTATTCTTTTTTAATTACTATTATTTGTCTGACTGGGTTATTTCAAAAGACATGTCTTCAAATTCTGGAATTCTTTGGCTTGATCTTGTGTACAGTTGAAGATTTCAAACATATTTTGTATTTTACTCAATAGATTCTTCAGTGATGAAACTTCCATTTGGCTTTTTTCTTAATGATATCTAGCTCTTTGATACATTTCTCATTCTGAAGGTTATTTTGATTTCTTTGTGTTGTTTTCAGGGTTGTCTTATACCTAATGAAGCTTCATTTCATTATGTTTTTCACTGCTGTCTGCTGCAGCAGAATCATGGGTTCCTTTGGAGGCATCTCATTCCCTTGCTTTTTACATTTCCAGGGTTTTTACGCTGGTATCTGCACTCCTGGTCTGAGCATTATGTCTTCCAGTTCCTTGAATTTGCTTTTGTAGGAGAGGACTTTCTCCTGAAGATAATATGTGGTGCTGGGTGGGTAGAGTACTGTGGTTTGATTTGGGTGTGTTCATGGAATCTGTAATTTCCTCAGTGGTCTAAGATGCATCTATTAGTGGAGCTGCATCTGCAGTGAAGTTTTGCTGAGGACTGGATGCCAGGACAGTCTTTGGGCTCCAGTGGTGGCAGCAGTGGTCTGAGTGAGCCAGTTCTTGGGCCCCAGGGCAGCATATGCTAGCACTGGTGTCAATGGGTTCAGGAGGGCTAATTTGGGGGCCTCCAGGTGGTTTACTTGGATGCTAGTACTAGCAGCAGTGGGTCAGGGAGGTGAAGGCTTTCTTTGGCCCCTGAGCAGCCAGCATGACACAGGCAATGTTAGTAACAACAGCGGGATGCCACTCTGGATCCTGAGCAGTGCATCTGGGTGTTGGCCATTGCTGCAGTGGGCCAGGCAGGTCAGTCTCCAGGGCTGCAGATGGCTCATACAGGTAGGTGCCAGCTATAGTGGCAGTGTCAGGGTGGGTCAGCCTAACCTCATGCCCCTGTAGAGGATTCAGGTGCCAGTGCTAGTGAGCTGGGCTGGGCTGGGTAGTCCCCAGGTCCCAGACTTCATGCACTGGCATGAGTTGGGTGAAGCCAGGCATGAAGCCTTGTCCTCCGACCCCTCAATGAGGTGTGTGGGTGCCTGCACAGTAGGCAGGGGCAAGATGACCCCAGGCCCCTGGCAGAATGCTTGGCTAGGGAGTAGTAGCAGCTGTACTGAGGCTCTACTAGCCATGAGGGTGGAGCTGCCTTTAGTGACGGCAGCCCAGGCCAGCAGGGGGGGATGCACACCTTGCTCATGCCGTAGCCTGGCCCTGGCACCTTTCCTTCACGTGCACCTCAGCTCCATACCACGGGACTGGGATAGTGCACAGTCTGTGGTGGGCTGGGTTCTCACAACTGCTGTACCTGCTTACAGCTCAGACGTGCGTGGGATCTGGCGCAATCTCCCTCCCTGCAGTGTCATCACGCTGTCTCCAGGCAGCTCCTTATGTCAGTTTCAGGGTCCTTGAGGGTCTAGAGCAGTGGTTCTCAACCTTCCTAATGCCACAACCCTTTAATACAGTTCCTCATGTTGTGGTGACCCCAACCATAAAATTATTTTCATTGCTACTTCATAACTGTAATTTTGCTACTGTTATGAATCATAATGTAAATATCTGATATGCAGGATGTATTTAGGCGACCCACAGGTTGAGAACCGCTGGTCTAGACTAGGCTTTGCTGTGGCCAGGACGGCAGGAGCCCATGATGGGAACGTGGTCTGCGGACAGGGG